AGAAGCATGGTAAGTTCGTTATTTGTTGAAAACAAGCTCATTTATACAGGAAAAAAAATAGAAGTAATTTACAAAAAGTTACTAGGAATGTTAAGTGAGTCTAGCATGTAACCTGCATGCAAGTTATAAGGTCAGTATACAAACTACAAAGTATTGTTGAGACATTGAAAATTTAAATTAATGGAAATATAAGCCAAGTTCACATTTCCAAAGACTCATTGTTAAGATGCTAACTCTCTTCAAAGTGCAATTCCAACCAAAGTCCCAGTTGTTTTCTTTGTGAAAAAAATGTCAAGTCTTTCTAAATCTTACATGGAAATGTAAAGTACCTGAAATAACCAAAAACAATTACAAAGAGTCAAATCTTAAACCAAACAATTAACGATACATTATAAAGCTATAGCAATCATTCAAACAATGAATTATTGGTGTAAAGAGACTTACCAAACACCAGAAAGAACAAAAGTCGACATCATGCATGATCAAATTTTGGGGGAGTGGGAGTGGAGACAGCACAGCATTAGAATGTGATTGGTTGCATGCAAGTAAAGTACTTTAACCCTATACTATATGTTTAAATTTTGGCAAAGATGAGAAAACTATTCAAGGGAGAAAGAATAATCTTTAACAATCAGTACTGGGACAAGTTTATTGCCATATGCAAACATACCAAATAATCCAACTAATCCTCACCCAAATACCATATTCAAAGTGGATCACTTACTTAAGAGCTGGGTTAGGCTAAGATCTCTTAAGAGACTTAAGCTGATAAGTTAGATGCTATTTATTAAAAAATTTAAATAATATGTTAAATATAAAAAAACATAGTAAGGTATTGCAAATGGTCAATGGTAACAGACCTTAAGAATTGGCCGACAGAACTGAGTTGGCCAAAAGGGTGAGAGGTGTGTGTGTGTTTATGTGGTGGGTGGAGAGAGATGTGGTGTTAGAACACTATATAACTGAAACTCTATTATTAATAGTATTCTAAATCATAGTGCCTGAATTTTTTTTTAATTGACTATTCAGAAACTCAAATAAGGGGCCAGAGAGATAGGGCACTTGCCTTGCATGTGGCCTCCCAGGGTTCAATCCCAGTCCCCCATGTCCACCAATAGTGATTCCTGAGTACAGTGTCAGGAGTAACCCCTGAGTACATCTGGGTGTGACCCACAAACAAAAACAAATACTAAAAATTGCTTAGATTTGTTTTACAAAATAAACTATTGTGAAATAAATAAGCAACAGAATAGGAGAAAATATCTGTAAACCTAATATCTATTATAGCTACAAAAAAAAAAACCCCACAAAAAACCCTTACAATTCATTAAGATATGGAATCTCTAAAAATGAGCCAGAGAAGTGAACAGACACTTCAAGAAATACAGCAAACCTTGACAAATTTTGTAAATTTTAAATCAGGTTAATTCATTGTGCATTATACTTTAATATGTTTACTTCAAAGCAATGAAACTATTTAAAATAAAATAAACTTAAGGTTAACATCATTTACATACTAAAGTAAATATTGGTAGATGTGCCCAAAGTAGTACAGTGGTTTGGGCTGAAAACACCTATAAAGAGCGTGTTCAGGTAGGTTGATTTTTAAAAGAATGGCATTAGACAAATACAGCTATGCTTGTAACTCACATCCACTTCTTTGCTTCCTTCTAAATAAGACCTCAAGTATGTTTGTGCAAGGAGGTATCTGCTAAAATAAGCAAAACTATGATTTTCTGGATGTTTATCTTTAAATAGGAGTGACAGCCCTTGCTCTCTGTTCACACTTAGATATATAATACCTGGAAATTAGGCTGTGACCACAGGCCAATACTAAGGAAGGAGATAATGGAGAGAATAGGAAACACTTGGTTCCTAGATAACATCTCCACAAATCAAGTACTACAAGACTTTTCTTTGAACTTGATGAGAAATGTAGCTGTATTCCTTGTTTAAGTCTTTATTTGCTGGTGTTTTTCTTGCAAAAGCTGATAAAAATTTATAACACTGAAGAGGTATCTGAGGTTCCAGAACCCAAACTATTCCTAAGTATTTATTCAATTTATTGTCTTACTCTTTCTACTTGGTGTCTTAATCTAGTGAGACTATAAACTCAATTTTTGTTGAAATTTAGCAACTCAGAGAGCTAAGGCTCCAGTTTGTGACAGTATGTATCAATTTTATGTCTATAAAGATAAGCAGTTATAGTATGGTGATAATAAAAAATTCTCTGGTTTTTAAAAAAATGCCTTAGAAAAGCATTCTACCGGGGCTGGAGCAGGTAGTTTGCCTTGCACATGGTCGACCCAGGTTCGATTTCCAGGATCCCATATGGTCCCCCGAGCACTGCCAGGAGTAATTCCTGAGTACAGACCCAGGAGTAACCCCTAAGCACTGCTGGATGGGAAGGAAGGAAGGAAGGAAGGAAGGAAGGAAGGAAGGAAGGAAGGAAGGAAGGAAGGAAGGAAGGAAGGAAGGAAGGAAGGAAGGAAGGAAGGGGAAAGAAGGAAGGAAGGAAGGGGAAAGAAGCAAGGAAGGAAGGGGAAGGAAGGAAGGAAGGAAGGAAGGAAGGAAGGAAGGAAGGAAGGAAGGAAGGAAGGAAGGAAGGAAGGAAGGAAGGCATTTCACCAGAGGGCTGGAGAGATAGTGTAGTAGATAAGGTGCTTGCCTTGCACATGGCTGATCCAGATTCAATCCTGGCACCCCACATGGTTCCCCGGCCTGCCAGGAGTGATGCCTGAGACATGATGGAGAGTCAGAAATAAGCCCTGAGCACTGCTGGGGAGCCCAAAGCCGCCCTCAAAAAAGTGTTCTAACAAGAACTTCTCTATGTATAAACAAAAACATAAGGGTAAAATGCTTTGTTTCTGCACTACAACATCTATGAGTAATTAAGGAAAAAAAAAGAAAAAAGTGGAGCTGGAGTATAAAGCTCAGCGGCTTAGAATACTTGCCATGCAAGCAGATAATCAGTGTTGAATCTGAAGTGCTGCTACATGTGCTGAAAATGAGCTGAACCTTATAACTGGTAGTTTTTGATTCCCAGAGATTTATGGCTGCACAGTAGCCAGATGTATGTGCATGACTAAGGGATATAACCCTCAGCAAACAAAATTAAAAGATGTGTAAGCACTGTGGCTAGGGAGTGTGATCCCTGAAGGGCATCTATGTGGGCACTGAAGGCCCTCCTATCCCTCCCAGGAACATACACACATCTAAAATGTGTCAACTCCTAGCAAGCATGTGTACAGACATCACAACTAAGTAGAGTACAATCCTTGTGAGCTCAAGTATATGATGCAAGCACTGCACCCAGGAATGTGTGCAACTCCAAGTCATCAGAGCAACAACAAAGGGAAGCCGGGGTGGGAGAAACAAATGTAGAACAGTAAAGAATCCAGGAGATACACTTCCAAGCAATACAATTTAACAAGAAAGAAATAGAATTCTATACCATCCCTTGGCAAGCCACCATCGTTAGAGTCATCCTACGGCAAGGAGCCATCGTTGCCCTTCCGTAAGTGGACTCCCTGAAAACTACATTTATCCTCAGGGCCATCAAATTTGAACAGCTCCTACAACTAACATGAAGGTCCCCATAACTTACAACTAATATCAATACCAAATAACAAACAGATCTTATTAATAACATCAAATTACAAATAAATCAGTATTTCTCTATGGCTCAATGAGTCAGGTTACATTTAACCAGTAAAAATGTCTAGCTATCCTGAGAGTTATTCTAGCAAAAATATCATTTCTTCACTTCCATAGCTGCTTAAATCTGGATACCAAAATCTTGGCAGTGCTTCCTGTCACCAAACTTGCCAGATCAGTCCTCCTGCTCACTGGTACATATTCACATTGCCTACTTCTAAAACCAGGTCTCACGTAAGTGCTTGAACCCTGGCTGCAAGGGAGACTGAGAATATGAATATCATTTCACTGAGATAACAAACCTTTACATGGGAAATCATCAATATATAAGTTTTTTATGATGGTATAGCCACAATTATAACAATGCAGTGTTTACTATCTTTACCACTGAGATAATGTGGGTTTTTTTAAAGAAACAATTTGGTGGTTCAGACACTAAAATATATATATTTCTTATACACACGTGGTCTTCATTCAACAGTCCTGCTTTACAGCTTTCCAAAAGTCCTTGAAATTGTTTAAGTATTCTAATCAGAAAAGTGATTTTCAGTACATTAATGAAAGTACTAAGAAAATACCTGAAGAACTGGATGTGAGAGAAAACTATCGATCAGTGTGGCACTTTCCATAGAGTGGGAGGGGCAAGAAATTTGGTTCAATTGTCAATGACTTAATCAATCACGCCTAGGTAACAAAGCCTCATCAAACACCAAAAAGGAGGAGCTTAGAAGAAATTATAGGTTCCTGAACAAAAACAATAATGGGGAGAGGGAGGAAAGTTATGACCAGTTCAATGAAGGCATGAAGTTCCATGACATTTTTCCTAAGCTTCTATTCATCAGGATCTAACTCACATCCTTTGTAATAAACCAGCAACATACTGAGAAAATAGGTTTCCTGAATTGTGTGCACATTCTAAAAAATTTTAACCTGAGAAAGGGGTATCAGAAGTAGGTAATAATTTGGATTTAGACAGGCACCTGAAGTCTGAGAAGGTAATAGGAACTTCAATTTGTAATCAATTTTTTTTGAGAAGTAGAGGTTAACTGCCTGGGTTTCCCTACTTTGTCTGAAGTAGAAGGTAGTCTTGGGAGATCGAGCCTTTCACCTGTGGAATTTGATACCACTTCCAGTTACCCAGTTTAAGAACTGAAATGGATTCTTGGATACTCAACTGGCCTTTGAGACTGCTTGATGATGTAGAGAGACTTACACACTCACATTTAAATCAAAATGTGGACACACCTAACACCTATGCACCATCATAACCTCAAACATTTAATATAAGATGCATATATACTATTGCATTTAATTTCCCAATATCACTTTTAAGTCATACTTACTGAACGAGCACACTTTTTGGGAGGACTGCTGGAGAGTCCATCCAATTGCCCATGTTCACCCAGAAAACCTGTAACTTGGTCCAAGAAAGAAGATACATCTAACTGGTGCCACTCGACCAGTTTTTGACCTAAAGATTAAAAAACAGGACATATAAATATGCTAAACTAATATTTTCTGAACATTCCCATCAAATACTTCTGTTTATTTCTTGAGTCACGCTTGCAGCACTCAGGGTTTACTCCTGGCAGTACTCAAAGAAACATGTGGTGCTGGAATTGAACCTGGACCAGCAGTATGCAAAGCAAGTGCTTTATTCCCTGAACTCCAGCTCTCATTATTTCTTTTGTAAATGAATAATTAAACTGTAGTAAGATTATATTACCACCTGTCATCTTCTTGTTACAGTTGCCTTCATAACTCATATAATAACAATACTTTCCAGACATCATGATGGGGCAACTGTCTTGCCAGTTGGTGTCACTGCCAATTAGGAAGGAGAAATTCAGCAAAACTGTATCTATATAAAAACCAACAGGGGGGCTGGAGCAATATCACAGCGGGTAGGGCGTTTGCCTTGCACGCAGCCAACCCGGGTTCGATTCCCAGCATCTCATATGGTCCCCTGAGCACCGCCAGGGGTAATTCCTGAGCGCAGAGCCAGGAGTAACCCCTGTGCATTGCCGGGTGTGACCCAAAAAGCAAAAAAGAAAAACAAAAACAAAAACAAAACAAACCAATAGGGCCAGGGAGACAGTACAGAGGTTAGGGTGCATGCAAGGCAGGTTCAATACCTAGTACCACATGGCCTCTCAAATATCACTGGGTGAGGGATGTGGAATTCCCCCAAACATCCTGGGATATTAACAACTAACTACCAGGTTGTTTGGCAGAGTATCACAAGGAATGAGCCCTAGGTGCCTTGGGAGACCTCTTTTCCCACCAAATCAAGTAATAAAAGTGGTTCTATCCTTTTCTTCTTTGGGAGAATTACAACCAATACATAATAAATATTTTATCTTTCTCTTTTGTGGAGAAGAGGGAGTTCCTCCAAGCAGTGTCCAGGAGCCCTGAAGCCATTCCAAGCAATACCTGGCCTGATAAGCTAATAATTTTCTAATGTTCAGCAGTACTGGGACTGACTTGGGTCACCCAAGCAATGTTAAGTAGACTGGGTATCAAATCTAGGGCCTATACATGCCAGGCATTGAAAAGAGCTTCAGCCTTTTGAGAGACCTTCAGTTTAAAAGTATAGAAAACTACCATTTTTCTTCAGTGGTTCGTCATAAAATAAATACGAATAATGTATATGTTATATGTAAGTATTGTCCTCTGAAAGAACAGAATGGCACAAATATAAAAATACTCCCAGAAAGAGACTCCCTAAATACATAATTCAATAGATATTTAAATAGTTCTAAAAGACATGAACAATAAAACACCTAAATTATTACAAACAACTCTAAAACTGAAATCAAATATTAAAAGTCAATTATTTAGGTTAACAGAAAGACAGACGAGGTTAAAGCTGTAAGTTGATAGAAATCTTACCTGTCCGTGGATCCAAGATAGACACGTAGGGAAAATCTCCTAGCTTATAAAACTGTATGTATCTCTGACCTTCTTCACTGTCGTGATAAACCTGTTAAATCATCGATAAATTAAAAATAAAATCAGTTTCTAAAAAAGCATCAATTTTATCCACTCCAAAGATAACTTTCAGATATATTGGGTTCTCACCCCCACGTTAAAGAGGAAAATTAGTTTCAACTTTCTGCTCTAAGACCCCTCGAGTCTTCCTTCCTAGTTCAGAAAAGATATTGCTCTTCCTATTTTGGGCCACATGCAGTGATGCTCAGATACTATTCTGAGATCAGTGTCTGGGTGACTATGTAATACTGGGGATCAAAAGCAAGGCTCCTATTCTGAGACTACTTTCTGACACCCTGCTCTTTCTTTCTTATCTGATCACCTATGTTATATGACTCAACCATATATGTCTTAGTGAGTCACAACATATTAAAATTATAAGCTTTGAACAGTCATAAGCAAAGAGATTCTTAAGCAACAGTCATTGAATAAAGGATACAATTAGAAAAAAATATACTGAATTTAGGGAATTTTAAAGTATGATATAGCATCAAGAGCATACCTTAAAGTGAAAAAAAAATTATATACATAGAAATTTCAATTTCCTGTAATTTTTTTTATAAAATAAAAACTGAAACCAGATCACTTAATCTGGTTCATTTAAGATCATTTAATCTTAGCTTCCACTAGAGCGATAGCACAGCGGGTAGGGAGTTTACCTTGCACGCGGCCAACCCGGGTTCGATTCCTCCATCTCTCTCGGAGAGCCCGCAAGCTACCGAGAGTATCCCCCCTGCACAGCAGAGCCTGGCAAGCTCCTCGTGGCGTGCTCGATATGCCAAGATAAGTAGCAACAAGTCTCCCAATGGAGATGTTACTGGTGCTGAATCGAGCAAATTGATAAACAACGGAAGGACAGTGCTACAGTGCTAATCTTAGCCTGGCAATTTTAAAAAGAAATTAGAGCCAACAAGATTAAGTGACAAGTCCAACGCCACAAAGAAAATCAAACTCACAGTAAAATACAAATGTCTCCCCCAGTATTTTAAGATCTACATTAGCACCATCAACAATACCAGTCAACAGAATAGCACTGCACTGTAGCACTGTATTCCTGTTGTTCATCGATTTGCTTGAGCGGGCACCAGTAAGTCTCCATTATGAGACTTGTTGTTTCTGGCATATCAAATATGCCACGGGGAGCTTGCCAGGCTCTGCCATGAGGGCGGGATACTCTCGGCAGCTTGTGGGACTCTCCGAGAGGGGCAGAGGAATCGAACCTGGGTCAGCCGTGTGCAAGGCAAACGCGCTACTGCTGTGCTATTGTTCCACCCCAGTCAGTAGAATATGTACTAGTAAAAAACTTGAAATGTTGCCAATTCCAAGTGAGCTAAGCTACTAAATATCAGGTCTTAAAGACTTAATGAATGGGGGCTGGAGTCAAAGCACGCAGCCGACCCGGGTTTGATTCCCAACATCCCATATGGTCCCCCGAGCACTGCCAGGAGTAATTCCTGAATGTATGAGCCAGGAGTAACCCCTGTGCATCGCCAGGTGTGACCCAAAAAGAAAAAACAAAAACAAAAACAATAAGCACTTAATGACTGACCCCTAAATAAAAATACATCATTAAAATTAGTTTTGTATTAGATATATCAAGTTTTAACATAGTTCTTTCCATCTGTTTTGTACCTATTAATTTTTTTTTTTTTTTGCTTTTTGGGTCACACCCGGCGTTGCACAGGGGTTATTCCTGGCTCTACACTCAGGAATTACTCCTGGAGGTGCTCAGGGAACCATATGGGATGTTGGGAATCAAACCCGGGTTGGCTGTGTGCAAGGCAAACACCCTACCCACTGTGCTATTGCTTCAGTTCCATTACCTGTTAAATAATTTTAATTATTTACAGAGCTTACATTATATGTCTACTGAACACCATAGCTGAATATTACTGAATAATAAGATGCTTAAACCCTTCTAAGATATGGCTTTCACCCTTCTCTTTAAAGTTCTTCAGTGCTTCACTTTTCTTTTTTCTTTTCTTTTTTGTTTCAGTCATTATCAGTGGTTTCACCTTTTCATGTTGAGAATTTAACTAAGTTACTAATTTTTCCTCGGTTTGTAAACTAATTCCTCCTTCTTAACATCCCATGCTAGAGAAATAAAATACTACAAAAAAATCTCACCTGCCAGAAAATAAAATGTTCCCGGATAATATTCTTCACAGATTCATTGCTCCATACGTCACGATTGAGGCACTGGCATGCAAAGTCTTGTACATTTTGAATATTTATCATCAGCCACTTATTTTGCATCTGGCCACACTCTTTTGCCTATAAAAGTTACATACCATTTGCCTCTGGTAATTGAAAATGATATTTCAGAATTCAGAAACTGACTTTAATAGAATTACAGTTTTTGCTGAAAGTAGACTATAGACAGAACACGATGGCCACTTAATTCCTCTACAGCAAACTACAGCACCCTAAAGGAAAGAGTGAGCAAAAGGGAATGCCCTGCCACAAAGGTAGGGTGGGGTGGGGTGGGGTGGATGGGGTGGGAGGGCTACTGGGATCATTGGTGGTGAAGAACGGGCACTGGTGGAGGTATGGGTACTCGATCATTGTAAAACTGAAACCCAATCATGAAAGTTTGTAAGACTACAACTGTACCTCATGGTGTTTCACTAATAAAAAAAAGAAAGAAAAAAAAAGAAAAAAATTACAGTTTTTTCTCCTGAAGTGTGACATTTAAGAGTTTTCAGGGGGTATGGTGCTGCCAGCAAGTCAATCTGTACCCGTGAGGTGAGTGCATCAGCAGCCTGATGGTGTCTTCAAACTTCCAGATACTCCAAAATTGCTGCTGTGTCTTTGGCCAGACCCAAACTTTACCAAAAAAGTAAACGGCCAAAAATTAGGTATGTGGGAGGCACACCCACAAACCACCTCCAGCTCAGCTATATAATAGGAGGCATGGCCTCTCTGGTTCCTGACTGAACTGCTTAACGGCCATGATCCCAGAGACTCAGAAACAAATTTCGAAACCCAACAGCTTTTGGAAGAAATGCGCCCGGTCCTTGCAGTAGGTTACTGGCACTGGGCCACTCCAGGTGGGAATAGGTTTCATGCCTTGGCCTGTTCCTCCTGGCGTCCCAGTGGCCACCATCCTCCAGAGGCCACTGGAAAGTCAGGTTTGGGCCCGCAGTGACGAGACACGTGGGGCCTCATGGGACGGTGATGGAGCCAGCCCTTTCCTCCCCATCCCAACGAGACCCAAAGTCGCCGCCCACGAACTGCCTCTCTGGCTCCTGATCAAGCTGTTAAATGGCCATGATCCCAGAGACTCAGAAACAAATCTCGAAACCCAGTGGCTTTTTTGGCAGAAAGCGTCTGGACGGCATAGTAGGTTATTGTCACAGGACCAACTCAGGGGGGAAAGGGTGCTGTCTTTCCGCCTGCTCCCCCTTGGCAGCTTGGTGGCTGCCATCCACCAAAGGCCACTGTACAGTCAGGTTTGGGCCCGCAGTGATGAGACACGTGAGGCCTCACAGGATGGGGGTGGAGCTGGCCCGTTCCTCCACGTCCCAACGAGACCCCGAGCTGCCGCCCACGAACAGCCTCTCTGGCTCCTGATCAAGCTTCTTAATGGCCATGATCCCAGAGACTCAGAAACAAATCTCAAAACCCAGTGGCTTTTGGCAGAACTGCGTCCTGTCCCAGCAGTAGGTTACCGGCGCCAGGCCACCCCAGGTGGGAATAGGTTTTATGCCTTGGCCTGTTTCCCCTGGAGGTTTGGTGGCCGCCATCTTGCAGAGACCACTGGATAGTCAGGTTTGGGCCACAGTGACGAGATACGTGGGGCCTCACAGGATGAGGGTGGAGCCGGCCCTTTCCTCCCCATCCCAACGAGATCCGAGTTACCGCCCATGAACGGCCTCTCTGGCTCCTGATCAAACTGCTAAACGGCCATGATCCCAGAGACTCAGGAACAAATCTCGGACCCCAACAGGTTTTGGCAGAAATCCCTCCAGATTTGTTAAAATTTCGGAATTTCAAAATTGTGCGGCTACTATTGTGACAACATGTTATTCATAACCAGCAATAGAAAACAAATTGTCTACTGTTGCCTTTTTGGCATATCCAAGTATTGGGGTATAATCCCAAATAATAATGGTGGTTCAGGTGTCAGAATATTAAATGTAATCAAAGTAGAGAGAGAGTAATGTGGAAATTATCTGCCCCACAGGCAGAGGGTGTGGGATGGGGGTATACCCGGATTTTTGGGGGTGGAGAATGGGCACTGGTGAAGGTACGGGTGTTTCATTGTATGACCAAGACTTAAACCCGAAAGCTTTGTAACTGCTCTCACGGTGATTCAATAAATAAAATTATAAAAAATGAAAAAAAAATGTAAGGTGGAGTTCATGCCCAATTCAATCAGCCTAATCAGTGGCTGAATAAATAGCAGTACTCCTATATTTTTAAAAAAAAGTGTTTTCAGAAAATAGAAACTATTCATAAAAATTTGTACATGTACATAATTATACTGCCCCTTTAAAAGAATTCTCTAAACCAAATCCCGTTTTATTATTATCTGGTGGGTAGGGAAGAGGTGGCATGTCAGAACTCAAGAAATTTCCTGGTAGTGCTCAGGGGACCATGTGGTGGGAGGATTGAACCCAAGACTCCTAAGTGCTTCTATCCTTTGAGTTATCTTCCCACACCCTTATTTTAATTTAAAAGAACTTTTCTTTGAGGCTGGAGAGATAGAATAGCAGGTAGGAACTTGCCTTACAAGCAGCCAACCCTAACTGGGTCCCTGGGAACTCTATATGGACCCCCTGGACTGCCAGGTATAATCCCTGAGTGCCCTGAACACTGATGGTTATGCCCCCCCCAAAAAAAGAATTTTTCTTTGTTCATTGCTATTGATTGTAACAGGTTTTTATTGTATGTTTTGCACCTGAAATAGATTCTACAAACTTAGTAAGTTACTTGATTCTATTGTATTGTCTCTTCTAATGCTGTTTTTCCTTCGATATTTTCTATACACATTAAAAAATATATTTATCTACATTTTTAAGCATATGCTAATTCTATTTTATAAAACTACTCCCTAACATTTTAATAAACGCCACTGAGGGTTTTTTCTCTTAGTACTGCTTTCTTACGAGTGGATTTCAAAATATATATTTACAGGGTCAAAGAGAATTCCAACTATGAGAATTTCAACTATCTCTAAGAGTGTTTCCCCAGCTTACAGAACAAGTATTAATTGCGAATGCATACTTTTTTAACCTCACAGTTCCTCATCACCACAAATACCCAAGGAATATTCCTGACTAGGGAAAGAATGGCAAAAATCCAAAAAGAGCAAATACTTCTACTTCAGACCTTTAGCAGAAGCAATGACAGTCAGATTTCTGAATAGCTGTGTCCCTGAACAATATTATTTTTCAAATAAGTGTGGATAAGGAACATAGTAAAATTCAACTGAGCCTTAAAGTAAATAACAGTTGAAGAATGCATTTTTATTGAGAAATGAAGGTAAAGAAAATCTTTAAACACGTTCACACTCTCACTGTCACTGTCATTGTCATCCCGTTGTACATCGATTTCCTCGAGGAGGCAGCAGTAACATCTCCATTCATCCTAGCCCTGAGATTTTAGCAACTGCCACATTGGAGGCTCTTTCAGGGTCAGGGGAATGAGACCCATCATTGTTACTGGGTTTTGGCATATCGAATACGCCACGGGGAGCTTGCCAGACTCTGCTGTGCGGGCAGGATACTCTCAGTAGCCTGCTGGGTTCTCTGAGAGCGAGAACTAGACAATAAGAGGTCGCATGGCTGTAAATGGAGCCATGCGCTTCCGGGAGCTTGGTTTTATAGTCTATGGGTTTTGGCCGTTGATGGGATTACATGGCGTCAGGGGCAGTTGGTGGGTAAAACACAGAGCTACTGGAAGACGGGGGATCTGGGTGAAGGAATCAGTAAAGGAATCCAGGTATGCGGGACCTGGGGCTGAGATCTCCAAGCCTGCTCGGATCGGGACTGGGTCTCCTTCACCCAGATCCCACATCTTCCAATAGCTAGACGTTACACCCACCAACTGCCCCGGGCACCATGTAATCCCATCCCATCAACGGCCAAGATCCAGAGACTATAAAGTCAAGCTTCCATAAGAGAACAACGCACAATTTCCTGCCCCAGCGCCTGGCTGTCCTCACTGGGGCCCCTTGGAGCGGGACACGTTGAGTTTCCCTCCCCGCCCCAAGCAGAGCCCTGGCAGCTGAAGACCTCTGAAATCCAGCCACAGCCATGCTTAAAACCACGGTCCACATGCTCGGACGAGCCTCACGTTCACACGGTTTTATAAATATTGCCATCCTATATTTTGGTATGAATATCCAGGAAAAAAAATCACTTTTCAATATTCAATACAGATTCCACAGATAAAAGCCCAGGTTCTAAAATGAAAAATCCCTGTACTGAGCCAGGAAGGTATTAATTAGCCAAAAGCTTGTTTTAAAGTATAAAAATATTTATATATTTAGTTGTGGTTCTCACCACAACATAAAAGTCCTTCCTGTCAAGCAAGACATCTAAAAATGGTATGTGAGCACAACAGTCAGTAAGTACAATCTCTTGGGGCTGGAGCAATAGCACAGCGGGTAGGACGTTTGCCTTGCACGCGGCTGACCCGGGTTCAATTCTCAGCAGCCCATATGGTCCCCTGAGCACTGCCAGGGGAAATTCCTGAGTGCAGAACCAGATGTAACCCCTGTGCATCGCTGGGTGTGACCCAAAAAGCAAAAATAAATAAATATATAAGTACAACCTTTGGTAAGCATATATAAGGAACAAGATGGCCTCTGGCGGGGCTGGAGTGATAATACAGTGGGTAGGACATTTGCCTTGCACGCAGCCAATCCGGGTTCAATTACCAGCATCCTATATGGTCCCCTGAGCACTGCCAGGAATGACTGATTCCTGAGTGCAGAGCCAGGAATAACCCTTATGCATCACTGGGTGTGACCCAAAAGGCAAAAAATAAATAAATAAATAAACCAAAAACCCCCAAAGATGGCCTCTGGTAAGCACTATAATCAAGTGTTGCAAGCAAAGAATCTGTAAGGAGTGCTTCAGTTTCCTTACCAAAAATTCTATTTGGCCCTTGGAAAACACAACTAAATGTACAAGCACCAGGTGCTTCTGTGACTCTGAGTCATTATAGCAGCAGTAACAAAAACACAGATAGGGTATCAAGGGGTACAACGAGAAAGAAATCATATAAAATATAATTACTTCTACAACAACAATATAAGCAAGAAAAACGATGGAGAGGAGAAAAAAAGCATAAAACACAGTGAAATAACTTGTATCTAGGAAGCAGCATATCTTTAAGTATACAGACGATAATCATTATCTTTTTTTAAAAAAATATTTAATTGAATCGCAGTGAGATACAGTTACAAGGTTGAACATGACTGGGTTTCAGTCATACAATGTTCCAACACCAGTTCCTTCATCACATTCCCCTCCACCACATTTCTGACACCAAAGGTTCCAGTTTCTCTTCTACCAGCCTATCCTCACACCCCACCTGCCTGTGTGGCAAGCACTGTTCTTTCTCCCCCTCTCCCGGCTCCCACTTCCACCACCTACCCCAGCTTTGGGGCATTACATAATTACACTGTCTTAATTGGAGACAGTACAGCAAGTACAACATGTGGCATTGGCACGTGGTTGACCCAGATTCAATCGCTGAAGACCCTTCTGCCCCCCATGCCTAGCAGGTGTGATCCCTGAGCGCAGGGCCAAGAGTAAGTCTTAAGAACAGCTAAGTGTTGTCCAACCCCCCCATCCCCACAAAAGCAAAAAAAAAAAAAAAACAAAAAAAAACAAAAAACCAAGGCTAATCAATGGAATTTACCAAGCAATCTATCTCATATACTGCTGTTAAAAATAAAAAACAGCCAAAAAACCACCTCTGGCTGGCACCAGATAATGTCATCATCGGCCACGATCCAGTGTTTCATGTCCTTCTCTCCCGGAAGGGAGCATAACATGTCCCTCACCATAACCATGCCGCTGGACCCCCACCACGTCAGGCTATTTCATTCAAGGCACCCTGGAGGGGGACGGGTGAGACTCCTCCCTACCCCAAGGGACCCAAAAATCTCCAGAACTCAACTGCCACCATGCTCACGGACGCTCTCCACATTCTCAAGCTGAGCCTCACCCATGAGTGAACCTATTCCTGCACAGCTCCATTTGCAGCCACACAACACTACACACCACACACCACCCATACTACAAGAGTACTGCACCACATTTGATGGGGTTCAAAGTAGGAGGCAACCAATCTTAACGGGAATTTTTTTTTTTTTTTTACAGATATAAGCACACAAGGCCCAACCTTTAACAACATGTTAGTGATCTGTTACAGAAGGGCTTAATGGCCCCTGGGTGAAATACAACAATCTTCACACTCTTTCCTCAAAGGAAACTTTTTTGTAGCATTTTCAGTGGTTTTTCATGACAAAATATCTTATTGTTTTGGGGCAGGGGTTGGGGTTCGGGATGGAAACATCCAAAATATGGTGGTGGGAAGGTGTAATGGAGGTGGGATTAGTTTTTGAATATTAAATGCAATCAAATCTTGTGACCTACATTATAAAATAAAAAAAATTAAAAACAGAAATAAAAAACAATCTCTATTAAGATGCTAGTTTTCTATATACGAAAAACTTTTTGCTCTTATAAGAGTAAAAAAGGCAGTATTTTTGCAAAGAATTGCAAAAGGATCCATTCAAAAAGCTTGAAATCACTTAGTAACTTACTGTTTCAAAGCTGCCTTTATGCATCAAATCAATGGGCGGCCGGAACAGATCTGCAAGGGTAGTTAGTTTTTTATCTATTGCTCCTCCATTTCTTAATTCCTGTTCTTGACGAACTGCAATACAGGTTAAAAAAAAAGCTTCAAGTAAGAATAAAGTCGTAAATATGGCAATGAAATACAGTTTCAAGAATAACAACGGGTGGGCTGGAGCCAGAGAGAGTATAGCAGGAAGGGAGATTGCCTAGCACATGGCTAACCTGGGTTCAATACCTGGCACCTAATCCAGTCTCCCAAGTCTCGCTAGGAGTGATCCCTGAGTACAGAGTGCTTACTCCTGGCTGCTGAGTGTGCCCCTCACGCCCCCAAAATATTGTAGGCCCAAGAGCTAATCAAGAGGTTAAGGTGTTCGCCTTCCATCTATTTAAATCCTCATACCACATGTGTCTCTGTTGTACTGTGAGGGGCCACTCCTGAGCACAAAGCCGGCAATAGCTAGACCACTATTAAGTACCCAAACCTTAAAAAACAAAGACCAACCCTCTCCCCACCCCCACCACCAAAACCAATGTGTTTGTCTCCTTGACCTCAAATATAAATTCTAATGCAGATTGGCCCTCCCGTTGATCGTCGATTTACTCGAGCGGGCCCAGTAACGTCTCCATTGGAGACTTTGTTGTTACTGTGTCTGGCATATCGAATACTCTCGGTAGCTTGCCGGGCTCTCCGAGAGGGGCGGAGGAATCGAACTCGGGTCGGCCATGTTGGCCTCTTGTAAGGCGAACGCCCTACCCGCTGTGCTATCGCTCCAGCCCTAATGCAGATTATAAGGAAAAAAAAGGAAAGCTTGGTGATGCTATCTAAAGGTTACAACTAAAAATAGAAATTCTAGTAGTTATCTTGGCCTGGGATGTTGTTCAGTGGTGGATCACAGATTTGGCAACAAAACTGGCCAACACTTGGGCACTGTGCTTGAGAGGGGACAATATACTCTTTAGTTGTAGTGCTTGCAAATATGGGGGTTGCAATTATTTGTGATGCACACACACATTTTGGTTGTAGGGGTAACCAGAGGTGACCTTGGAACTTATACTCATGCCTGCTGGGGCGGGCAGGGGAGGGGAGGGTGATCACACTTCTTGCTACAGTGCTTGCGTGTCTTTTTCTGTTGCAGGGCTGTGAACTACAAGCATCAGTTGTAGTGCTCGAACATATCCAGCTGTGCACTGAAGACTGTGCATTGTTGCAGTACCAGGAATCCCAACAGTGGAGTCATAGAAGTGTATTTAGTATATGTAGACGAGATTGGGGATTAAACTCATGACTGCACAATTGCAAAGGCAGGTGCTTTTTGTCACTGGGCTATCCTCCACATCCTTAAACATCACCTCTGTTTTGTGGTGAGGGATGTAAGTTTGGCGATACCCAGCAGTGCTTTGGGACCAATCCTAGCTCTGTATTTGGAGTCTGCTTGTACCAGTGCTCAAGGGACAGGAAGTGCCAAGGATTGGATAGACAATCCAGAGAAGACAAACGCCTTAATTTACTTAATATGTACTGTCTCCATAAATATCTTTTTCTTTTAAGAAAACAACAAAATCAGGAGCAATCAACCTATATGAGTATGTATAGGTGCTCCTCAACCTTGTGTTTTTTTTTTTTTTTAATCTGGGGGAAGAGCAGGAAGGTGGAGAAGGAAACAAATAGGAATAATAAATTGGTAATAGATACCTACTAGTTTCAGTTTGAAAATCTCGGAAACCATCAAATATTGAACGTGCAGGCCGTCTTCTCTTAGGAGCTTTAAGGGGGGAGTGGGAGGGGGAAGAATTGATAACAAAATTTAAGTTCATTCTCAAACAATTCTTAAATTTGTATATCTTGTTTCAAAATATTTAGTTTCTTAATGGTACACTCCTTCAAACTTTTTCAAACCTATAAGTCATTCAAACATAATTAGGCATGTTTAGCACAATAATTTTGCTTTACAAATGAAGAAACTAAACGCCCAAGGATTAAACCGAACATGTGCAAAAACTAAAGATTTATAAGATTTTTCCATGAAGCTACAGATAATCTGTAAATATATCATTCAAGTTAACTTGATTTATTATTATAACCTAGTTCGTTAAAGGCTTTTAAAGGATTTGACTATTTTTTGGTATAACATTTGAGTGTGTTAAATCTGAGCAATACTATTTGAGAACTGTCCCTGGGGCTGGGGTAAGTGGTAGAGCACATATATTTATATGTGAGTTCCTGGGTTCATACTTTATATGTGAGGTCTTGGGTTCAATCCCTAGTAACCACTTTCTTGGCTCATTACAAACATAGGCATCACGTAATAAGAATAATGCTTTTTGGGGCTGATGCAATAGTACAGTGGGTAGGGTATTTTCTTTGCATGAGAATGACCTAGATTGGATCCTCTGTGTCCCATATAGACCCCCCCCCCAAGCACTGCCATGGGTAATTCCTGAGTGCAGAGGCAGAAGTAACCCCTGAGTACTGCCGGTGTGGCCAAAAACCCCAAAAGCAAAAAACTAAGAATAATGCTTTGTGTTGATGATTAAGAAAATTGAAAAAGTATAGAAGGCCCTTACTCCATGCAAAAGCACCTTTCCCATTCCCAACAGCCTGTGTCTGCCATTATGTAATTTAATTCTTTCTATCCAAGAATGAGTAAAATAAATAAACAAACATAAAAAATATCTTGTTTAGGGGCTGGGGAGATAGTATAGTGGGTAGGGTGCTTGCCCTGCAATTGGCCACGTTGGGTTTGATCCCCAACATCCTGTATAGTTCCCCCATGCACTGCCAGGATGAGAACAGCTAGGTGTGCCTCACCTCCCAAATAAAATCTTGTTTAAAATATTTTTGTTTAATGCATAAATGTTTATCAGTACATATTATAGAATTATAGTGTTTATTATTAGGAAATGGGTTTGGTCTTTAAAATGTGTCCATGGTTTAGTTTTGTACTGAATTTTAATAAATTGAATTCTATCTGTCTCAAATTTATTTCAATTAAATTTCAATCTCAGTGCTGTATTTTCGTCATTCTATTAAGAGACATATCCTCTGTTGCCCATATCACAACCTGCAATGTTTTATCTTCTCTCCCCCACTACTTGTATTTCTCTAAATAAAACTGTTTTACCATTTTGTGTCCTCTTGAAATTCTTTTCTGTGAAGGAAGCAACAATCCTGCCAAATCTGGGCAAATATTAATGCTGACTTTCCTTTTTCTGCAAAGAGCAATTCCTTGATCCAGCCCGAGTCCACAAATCTCTGAGAATCTGGGTACTAAGGATCAGTTCCCATGCCATGCAGAGCAAAGTGGGTTTCAGATACAGCTTGACATCTTCGCCTTGTGAGGCTCACAGGAAATGAGTGTATGTGCCATGTAGATGCTTTACTAATAAGACTTTATTTATTAGTCTTATCACAACCCAGGTACTTTTCTAGATGACCAAGGTGTATTACTGGAAGCACTCCTGTCTGAAGGACACCTTCCATATTCCCCACTTCACCTTGGAACATCTTGGTGAGATAACTAGAAGCCACGTGATCTGCAATATAATTTGCAAGGTACCAGGAGCCCTTCTCTAACCTGTAACAAATCTGTGGACAGATGTTAAGAATCACTGGTGACAACCTTCCACTTGCAATTAGTGTCTGAAGAGCAGTGGCATTAATCCAGTGAAACTGCACTAATAACCTTGAGATCCAAAACTATTTCCAGGAGACTCTGATGAAGCAAGTTACCACACTGGAAAACCCACATGACTAAAATAACCAGGAAGCAACTGAATCCTGCTAATAACAATGATTTAAGTTTGAAATTGGGTCTTCCCCAGTTGAACCTCCTAATGAAATTTCAACACCAGACTTGATCGAAACTTGTAAGAAGTCATGAAGAAGGCAAAATTAACCTGTATACAGAGTCCTGGCACAGAAAAATGAGAAACGAGTGTATGTTTTAATCTGTTGAAAAGTGATAATAGCCACACAGTTGTAGCTGAAGATTTTTACACCACTCTGTCACTTCTTGATATATCAACTAGATTAAAAACTCAGTAAGGAAATACTTGTTTTGAAGGAAGAAATGTAAGACAGGGGTTGTGTGTGTGTGTGTGTGTGTTGTGTTGCTGTGTTTGTGTGTGTGTTTATGAAAAGTCTCAAAAAAGTAAAATACACATTCTTCTCCAATGTACATGGGTCATTCTTCAAAACATACCTCCTCAAAGTCAAGAGTATAGAAATCAATATTAGCTATCTTCTCAGACCATGATGCACTGAAAGTAGAAGTTAATCACAAATGGAGGAACAACTCAAACACCTAGAAATTAAATAGTTCATTACTGAACAACCAGTGGGTCATAGGGGAAATCAAAGAGGAAGTTAAAAGACACATGGAGGAGCTGGAGCAACAGCACAGTGGGTAGGGTGTTTGCCTTGCATGTGGCTGACCCGGGTTCGATTCCCAGCATTCCATATGGTCCCTTAAGCACCGCCAGGGGTAATTCCTAAGTGCAGAGCCAGGAGCAACCCCTATGCATCGCCAGGTGTGACCCAAAAAGCAAAACAAAAAGACACATGGAAACAAAAGAGAATGAGGACACTACCTACCAGAACTTGTGAGATACATTGGTGTTAAGAGGAAAGTTCATTGCCATGCAAGTATTCTATAGGAAGGAAGAATTGACCCACATAAATAAGTTCACTGCAAAACTAACTTAAGAAACTGAAAGATGACCAGCAAAAGGAACCGAAAGCAGGCAAGAGAAAGGAAATAATAAAACTCAGAGCAGTCTTAAGGATCAATGACACCAAGAGCTGGTTCTTCGAAAAAATAAACAAGATCGATAAGCAAGAAACATGAAAAAAGAGAGAGAACCTTGATAAACTCCATCAGAAATGAAAGAGGAGACATCACAATAGACCCCACAGAAATTCAAAGGATCATCAGAGATTATTTTGAGAATCTTTATACTATGAAACAAGAGAACCTAGAAGAAATGGATATATTCTTGGACTCCTACGACCTCTCGAGGCTGAATCAAAATGACTTAGAATATCTGAACAAACCTATCACTATGGAGGAAATCAAAATGATAATCAAAGTTCTTCCCCAAAACAAAGGTAGAGCAGGCCTACGTAGATTCATGAGTGATTTCTTTCAAGTCTTTAATGAGAACCTACTGTCAATTCTCTTCAGGCTCTCTCAGCAAACTGAAGAAAAAGAAACACTCCCAAACAGTTTCTATGGCACAAACATTACCCTGATACCTAAAGCAGACAGACACTACAAAAATGTCAACCACAGGCTAGTATCCTTGAATACAAATCCTTAACAAAATACTAGCAAATAGAATCCAACAATTCATCACAAAGATCATATACTATTACCAAGTAGGATTTATCTCCAGAGATGCAAGGAGGGCTTAACATATGCAAGTCAATCAATGTAATACACCATTATCAGTAAAAGAAAAAATGAAATCATATGATCATCTCAATAGATGCAGAGAAAGCATTTGAAAAGATCCACCTCTCAACAAAATGGGGAATTGAAGGAGCTTTCCTCAACATAGTCAAAGTCATTTAGCACAAGGTAACAGCGAACATAAAACTCTATGGGGAAAAACCAAAAGCCTTCCTTCTAAGATCAGATACAACACAAGGTTGTTCACTCTGGCCATTTCTATTTGATACAGTACTGGAATTACTTGTCAAAGCAATTATGCAAGAAAAAGATATCCAAGGCATCCAGATAGGAATAGAAGAAGCAAAGCTCACTATTTACGTATTACATGATATTTTAAAAAATCCTAAACACTCTATAAAAAATTCCTGAAATAAAAGATTTGTACAATAAAGTGGCAGGTTACAAAATTAATATGCAAATGTCCATTGCTATCCTATACACAAATAATGAGAATTTAAAAAAAAAATCCCATTCATAATTGTGCCTCAAAAAAAAAAAGTACCTCAAAATCAGCTTCACTAAGAGTTGAAAGACCTATGTAAAAAAAAGTACAAGGCACTATTTCAAGAAATAAGAGTATATGGGAAATGGAAACACATCTCCTGGATTGGAAGGATTTATATCATTGGGATCAGCAATACTCCCCAATGATTACTATCATTAAAGTGGCAATACACTAGAAAGCACTGTATAGATTCAGAATAGTCTCTAAAAGGATACCTATGTCATTATGCAAAGAAATAGATCAAACATTCCTAAAATTTGTATGGTATAATACTGTTGCTCCCCCCACTCCCACCTCTGCCCTGAATAGCTAAAGCAGCAATCTTTAGAAAAAAATAGATTGGAGGCATAATTTTCCCCAACTTTAAACTGTATTACAAAGCAGAAGTAATTAAACCAGCATGACTAAAATGACTAAAAGACAGACCCTCAGGTACATGATCAGTTAAATTTCAATAAAGGATCAAAAAATATGATGTGGAGGAAGGAAAGCTCTTCAAAAAAATTAACTTAGACCTCTTTTTTATGCTAGACACAAAAGTCAAGTCAAAATGAATAAAGAACTTGATATAAGACCTGAATCCGTAACGCACACAGAGGAAAATGTAGGCAGAACCTTCCATGACACTGAAGCCAAAAGAATCTTCAAGGATGAATCACCCTGACGAAGCAAGTGGAAGCAAAGATAAAAAATAAGACTACATTAAAACTAAGAAGCTTCTGTACTTCCAACAAAATGATGACCAGGATACAAATGGTAAGGAATGGGAAAAATTATTTACCCAACACTCATCTGGTAAAAGGTT